CTGGGGTGCAAAGGGGGGGGGATGTGGGCACAGCGCAGGGTGGGGGGGAGGGGGCTTTGTGGGGGGGAGCAGCCAGCCCCTACCCACAAGCATGGAGACAGCCGGTACAAAACAGCCAATTTATTGCACGAGGGGGCGGAGAGTAAGGGTAGGGCCCCCGGCTGAGGGGGGAAGTAGGGATGTCCAAGGGGCTCACTATGTACAGGCGGCAGGACCGCAGCCACTCGGGGAGGCCATCAGGTGCTGGAGACAGACGGGGCCGTGTAGGTGTGGAACCGCTCGTGTGCCCGCTCCTGCGTGAGCAGGCGCAACCGCATGGTGTCCACGGCTTCCTCCAGCCCAGGCTCCTGCGCCACCTCCACTGAGTAGTCATTGGCCTGTCGGGGAGGAAGGGGTCAGGGTGTCTTAGTACCAGCTGCAGCTCTTGGGGCACCAAATCAACCCCCCAGTACAAGGCTGGGGGGGCGGGGGGAAGCTGGGTCCAAGCAAGGCAGCTATGACCTTATCAACCCCCTGATAAGAATGAGCGGGGAGGACCTGGGACCTGCACAGGACAGCTTTTCTATTAGAGACCAGTCCAACCACCCCTAGGAGGCCTGGGTCTTCCAGCGCCATTTCCCTGACACTGGAGCAAACCAGCGCTGGCAGGTGGATCAGCAGCCCCCAGCACCCAGAAAGGCTGGAGTGGGAAGGATCCAGGCATAGCAATGCCCGTGCTCTGCTGTGGGGGTGTCCCAGGCTTCTGGGCTGTACGACTTGCCCCCCCACCCTGTCCTGCTCCGTGTGTCAGTATACGGGGTTAAGCATCCGCCAGGAGTGCTGGATGGGGCTGGGCTGTGCCAATGCTCCTGCTGGCACCAACCCCCCCAGGGTCCTGGCTGGAGGGGCTCAGGCTCAGCCCCACACTGCACTGGGGCAGGAAGGGATTTCCCCCCTGCTCAGACCTGGTTGCACTGGGAGGGGGTTTGCCTTCCTCTGCCGCGGGGCGCAGCCTCGGCCTGGGGTCTCTGCAGCACCTATGACCCCCCTGGCAGCAGCAGGACGTTGGTAGCTGTGGGGGCAATGTCTGGGGCTGTCAGGGGTGACTGTTGTGCAGCTCCGAGGTCGGACATGAGGTTTGGGCTGGTTTGGACGGAGCTGATCCTGCTTCAGGCAGGGCTAGGACTGGACGTGACCCTGCAGCTCCCTGCCAGCCCCGTGACTGGCATTTCTCTCATTTCTGTGAGGTGGCTGTGGCAGGGGGCAGAGCGGCTGACCTGCCCCGAGTCACAGGGGCCCTGGGACGGGCAGACACCCCCCACCAGCACTCACCAGCTGCAGCGAGGCCAGCATGTAGCGACACACTTCGAAGGCCGGCTGCCCAGCCACCAGGCTGGCGAAGGAGCGCCATTCCCCCACGCGATCAAAGCGCGATGCCAGCCGGTCCCCGTAGCTGTGGATGTCAAAGACGGCCCGGTCCTCCTGCCGGGGAGGAGAAGTGGGCATCACCCCCATGCCCAGGGGACCAGGCTGGGGCTTCCCCTCCGAGGGTTATGGGAACCAGCCTAGAGCAGGCCCCATCAAGACAGCTCTAGAGCCAGAGCAGAGCCCAACCCTCCCCGGCTCTCTGCCCCGGGGCAGGCAGGGAAAGTTTCATAGTTTCATAGTTTCTAGGGTCGGAAGGGACCTGGGCAGATCATCTAGTCCGACCCCCT